CCAGAATTCCCCAGCCAGCGAATGCTGGCTGGGGAATTCTGGGAGTTGAAGTCCGGACATCTTCAAGTTGCCAAGGTTGAGAAACACTGGCATAGGACACCTTGGCAGTATTTTCTAAGCTCTGCAGTTTTTAAAGGGAGTAGTTGCAACTTGGGTTCCTGCGGCCTTCGACCTTTATTTTTGTGGCCCTTAAAAAAGTAGTAACAGGGCAGGTGCAAATTAGGGTTGTTCTTCTCCCCTCTTCATCAGAGAGGAATAGTTTGGGGGGAAAAAAGAACATTCGGGAAATAGGACAAACTTGACCCTACTCAGCAGTTATTTGGGTATGCAGAATGGGAGGGGGTTGGATTTCCTGGGTCCCTTTCTGTAGTACTGGCTTTGGAAGTGCAAGTCAGCCATGGGTGTGGCTGTCCCCATGTGGCTAGAAAATTATGCCACTTCTTCAGAACTGTCAAAAGAGGTATAGCTAGCTATGCAACTTCTTTTATGTTGGGGATGACATGCAAAATTGAATCCTACTGTCAGTGTAAGTGAGATCTGCACGGAGCTGATAATAGAAGGGCATGAAATATAATTTAAGAGCTGCTTCTCTTGAGGTCAGCAACTGAATGGTGCATTACATAGAGGGTATCTGAATCAGAGACAAGAAAGAAGAGGAAAATATCAGAGGAAAAGTGAAGGAAGTGCTTTAAATTGTGGCATTTTCCACACCAGCACTGTGGACGTATATTGTACAATGGCATCTCCGTTTAAAAAAAAAAGAACAATGACTTTCCACCCCCACCCCCCCAAAATAAGGACTAAAATCTCCTTTTGGTGGTAAATATTTAAAATATGATAGATAGAATTTGAAAAAAATGGAAAAGCTAATTCCTTTAGTTGGCGTATAATGAATGTTGTATATTTTATATAAGTAACTGGCATCAAGGTGTTAAAATAAATCCCAAGTATTTTAAATACATAGTATTTAAAAACATGGTACTTAGAAACATAAACTCAGTTGAATTCCTAATTTGATCTATGAAGAGATTGTGACATCTGTGTCATTGTGAACAATGCAGATTTTTAATATGTAAAATACTGTATTGGATTCCGCAAACATTATGTTGTATTAATACAATGACATCTGTGGCAGTAAAATTTGTTACAAAGGCAAACCTGCTTGAGATAAAAGCTGCAAGATGTTGCAGCAAAAATCAGCCATTAATTATATTGATGGTTCCAGGCCCTCAGCACTGCAGCTTTTTTCAGCAGAAGTCTTTATAGACAGTGGAGCTGATCTCTGAAACATCCAGCCTCCATGAGTTGGACTACCCCTCCTGTCTTCCTAGCAAACAGGGATTTACAGTCTCACATTTGAAGGGTGTGGCATTGGGGAAGGTTACAACTATCAGCTCCCACTTCCTCCCCACTGCATTATGTTGAATAGTTCTCTATGCATGGCGATGATGCTCAAGAGGCGGTATTCTGAACAGTTCTGGAGAACTGGTAGTGGAAATTTTGAGTAGTTCAGAGAACCGTTACCACCTCTGACTGGCCCTGGCCCATCTATTCTCTGCCTCCTGACTCCCAGCTTATTGGGGGGAATGGAGATTTTACAGTATCTGTCAGCACTCCTCCATTTGAATAATTAGGGAAGAAAACCACGAGACTCCATTGATAGAAATCAAGTGTACTTTTACTAATTATAAATGATTAGAAGCGTAGCAAAGCGAAGACTGATTATTTAGGCCGCGAAAGCAAATGATATATAGAATACCCCATTCCCCACCCCTTGGCATCCCAGTTACAGTCCAATCATAATTCTTCCAAGTGTCAGGTGCAAGATAACTTCGAAAGGCATCACCAAGATGGAATGTCGGTGCCGTTGGCCTTGGCGGGAA